GGGAGGGTGTCTGGTGAGTCATGGGGGGGCGAGAGGGGCTGGGGGCTGTGTGGGGCCGGCTGGGGAGAGGTGTGGGATACAGCAGCATCCATCCCTTGTGGGATGTGGGAGCTGCACGTCCGCAGTGCAGCACTGTGCTTCCATTATAGGAGTCAGGGAGATTCATGTCCCCCTCCAGCACCATGCCGACCTATTGGGGTGCTGGGAGCTGTGCAACGCCCCCCCCCAGCACCACGCATCCCTTATGGGCTTCAGGGTCCTGTAGACCCCCTGTCCAACTCTGTGTCTCCCTTATGGGGTGGTGGGGAGATGCATCACCCCTCCCCAGCACCACACATCCCTTATGGGATTCAGAGAGAGATTTGTCCTCCCCCAGCCCCACAGCAACCTACTGGGGTGCCAGCTGCAGGACCCCCCCGCCAACCAGCACCATACAACCTTATGGAGTGGGGGGAGATGCAACCCCTTCCAGCCCCCCCAACCCTACACAGGACTCACAGAGCTGTGCGACCACCCAGCACCTTAAAAATTTTTAGAGTGGAGGGAACTGCACCCCCTCGGCCTTTTCCCCATCTTTCCACAGAACTCAGGGAGCTGCAGCCCCTCCCCACCCTTCCTGTACCATACAACCCTTATGGGGTTCAGGGAGTTGCAGCCCCCCATCCAGCACCACACAAGCTTATGGGGTTTGGGGCCTGCAGGCCCCTTCTTCAGCGCCATGCATCCCTCGTGGGGTGCAGGGAGATGCACTGCACCACTGCGTTGGGGTGCCAGGAGCTGCGCAGCTCCATCAGGCCCATAAACCCTCACAGGGTGTGGGGATCTACTTGTCCTCCAGAACCTTGTGGGGTGGGAGATGCAGACCCCCCCACCACATGTAAGACTCAGGGAGCTGCGTACCCACCTCCAGCACCATACAACATCATGGGGAGGGAGGAGCTGCACCCCCCCCCAACCCTAAACAACCTTATGGGGTTCAGCAACCTGCAGTCCACCCCATCCAGTGCCTTATAACCCGGTGGGCTGCTGTGGGGGGAACTGCACGCCCCCAGCACCACCCATCCCACATAGGGCTCACGGGGCGCCCCCCCCCCCCCCCCCCCCCCCCCCCGGGCAGTGCCGTGCGGAGCTCCGCGGGCCGCGGGGGGGTCCGGGCGGGGCTCTGCGGGCAAAGTCCTCCGCCATGAGCGCGACGTGCGGCGGCCTCTCGGCCCTCCCCGTGCTGCCAGGTAGGGGGTGGGGGGGGGTGGTCCGCTACGGGGGGCACCGACCCGGCCCTGCTGGGGGGTCCCGTGCCATTCCGTCCCGTCCCGTAGGGGAGGTGGTCCTGGAGGCGGCGCGGGGAGTGCGGCACCGTGGGGCGGGCGGCTCGGTGCGGGGCACGCTGCTCTGCACCAACGTCCGCGTGGCGTTCGTGCCCGGAGCGCAGGTGGGGACATCGCCGCACCGCGACCCCCTCTCCCCTCCCCCTTTCCCCGGTCCCAGCCGCGGCCCGTCGCGGTCCCAAACCCGCTGCGTCCTCACCCCACGCTGCCCGCTGACCCTCAGGGCTGCGCCCTGACCGGGACCCAGCGGCATCCCCGTCCCGACCCGCCCGTGTCCTCATCCCATCCCGGACCCGTCTGCATCGCTGTCCCCATCCGACTGTGTCCCATCCTGGTCCCATCCCAGCTGCATCCTGCCCCCAAGATGCCCACACCCTGACCCCCAGCGGCTGCAACTGACCCTCTCCTACCTGCACCCCAACCCTGTCCCAGCTACGTTCCTGTCCCCATCCACTTGTGTCCTAATGCCACCCCAACCCCATCCATGCTCTCTATCCCCACTGCATTCCTTGCCCAGCCATCTGCATACACCCTGGCCCAGCCGCCTGCACCCTGACCCTGTCCCAGCTGCATCCCAGTCCCCATCCACCCATGTTCTCGTCCCACCCCACCCAGAACCAATCCATCCACATCCCATCCCCGTCCTGACCCTAAACTACCCGTATCTTTTGACCTGGTGGGGACTGACAGGAAAGCTGGCGAGGAACTTTTGATAAGGGCATGTCACGACTGGGTGAGGGGAAATGGCTTTAAACTGGAGGAGAGGAGATCCAGAGGAGATAGTAGGAAGAAATTCTTTACTGTGAGGATGGGGAGATGGTGGAGCAGGCTGCGCAGAGGGGCTGAGGGTTCCCCATCCATGGGGTCAGGTGGGATGGGGCTTCATGCAGCCTGGTGTGCTGGAGGTGTCCCTGCTGGCAGTGGAGGGATGAGATGCTCCTGAAGGTCCCTTCTGACCCAAACCGTGCTGTGATCCAACGATTCTGGCTGCATCCCTGCCTTCATTCATCCCCAACCCAGCTGTATCCCGATCCCATCCCAGCCCCATCCCAGTTGTGTCCCAGTCCCATCCCAGCTGCCTCCTGACCCTGGCCTGCCTTCACCTTGACCCCAAGCTGTCTGCATCCTGACCCAATTTTGATCCATCTGGATGTGTCCACCCTGATCCTGTCCCAATCCTACACCAGCAGCATCGCATCCCCATCCCAGCTGCATCTGAGACTGGCCCTGGCTGCATCCTGACCCCAGTGTGGTCCCATCCCTTCTTGCACCCTGACACCCTCCTGCCCTCCCCAAACCTCTCCTTGGATATGACCCCCACTGCCCCTTTCACCCTGGGAGCTCCTCGCTGTGGGACGTGGGGCGGGGATGGGGCTGCGAGGCCCTGCTCCTGCCCTGCTGCCCCTAAGGCTCCCGAGCCACCTCCCATCATTCCCCCCCTCTCTGCAGCCCCCCAGCTTCAGCCCCTTCCTGCAGAGCGACTACAGCGTGGCACTGCGCTGCATCCGCACACTGGTGGCAGGTAGGGGGCAGGATGGGGGACGAAACCTCGACCCCGTCTGCAATGACCCCGGGGGGTTTGATGGCCACCGCCTCCCCCCCTTCTCAGCCAGCAGCTTCACCAAACCCACGGTGCTGACGGCCGCCTCCAGCCTCACCTTCATACCCGAGGAGCTGGCAGTTTTCTGCCGGGACTTCCGTCTGCTGCGCTTCCACTTCCCAGAGAACGGGCTGGGGCTGCAGGCGTTCCGGGTGAGGGGATGGACGGCGTTTGGGCTGGGGGCTCATGAGGATGTCAGCCCCGGGTTCCACGCTGCAGGTGGCCAACGCCATCGCACAAGTGTGGGGATTGGGATGTGGGGCTGGGATGGGGTTGGGATGGGATTGGGATGGGGCTGGGATGGGATTGGGATGTAGCTGGGATGGGATTGGGATGGGGCTGGGATGCAGCTGTATGGGGGCTGGAATAAAGGCAGGGATGCTGCCGGCTTGGGGTCAAGATGCAGACAGATTGGGGTCAGGATGCAGCTGGGATGCACTGGGTTGGAGCCTGGATGGACTGGGATGGGATCGGGATGGTTGTGGGGTGGGATCAGGACACAGGTGGGTGGGAACAGGGACAGGGCTGGGATGGGGCTGGAAAAAGGCAGTGATGCAGCTGGGACAGTGTCAGGCTGCAGCCAACTGGGGTCAGGATGTGTGCAGCTTGGGGTCAGGATGCAACTGGGATGGGATTGGGACAGGGCTGGGATGCAGCTGAGATAGGAGCAGGATAGGATCAGGATGTGGCTGGGATGGGAGCGAGATGCAGCTGGTTTGGAGATGGAATAAGGGCAGGGATGCTGCAGCTTGGGTCAGAGTGCGGGCAGACTGGGATCAGGATGCAGCTGGGATGCACTGGGATTTGGCCTGGATGGGACTGAGATTGGACCAGGATGGGTTCAGGATGGGAATGGGATGGGACCTGGTTGGGATCAGGATAAGAGTGAGTGGGGACTGGGATGCAGACGGAGTGGGGCTGGATGGGACTGGGACGTGCTGGGATGAGGCTGGATGAGACTGGGATGCACTGGGATGGGGCTGGATGGGACTGGGACGCACTGGGATGGGGCTGGATGAGACTGGGATGCACTGGGATGGGGCTGGGATGCACTGGGATGGGACTGGATGGGACTGGGACGCACTGGGATGGGGCTGGATGGGACTGGGGTGCAAGCAGGATAAGGAGCCACGTGGATACCACAATGGGAGATGAGGTTGAGGATGGGGGCAGGGGGGCACACAGCAGTTTCTGGGGGGAGGGCTCAGGCGGGGTGGCAGCACTCAGCCCTCGCTCCTTGCCACAGGTGGCCAACGCCATCGCCCGAGCGCGGGACACGGCCACGTGGCCGGGGGACAGCGGGAGCCACGTGGATGCCACAATGGGAGACGATGAGGACGAGGACGAAGGCTCCCCCCCCACGCTGCTCTTCGAGAGCCTCCAGGATTGGGAGCGAGAGCTGCAGCGCCTGGGGGCAGTGGGTTGGAGGGTGAGCGCCGTCAATGAGCGCTTCGATATGGCCCCCAGGTAGGTACTGGGGGGCGGGGGGGGGGTGGGATGTGCCCCCAACCCACGCAGGACCCCAACACGCCCGCCTGCAGCCTGCCCCGCTACCTGTGGGTGCCCAGCACACTGCTGGACCACGACCTCAAGCGGACGTTCGCCCACTTCCAGGAGCGCCGCCTGGCTGTGAGTAATGGGATGTGGGGTGATGGGG